CTGCGTGCGACCGTACCGCTTCCCAGCCTGCCGCACGCACGGTCGTGCCACCTCCCCACGCGGCCGTACCGCTTCCGCACGTGAGGTGCGTGACAGTACCACCTCCCCGCATGCCGCGCGTGTCCCTAGCGATTCCCTGCGTGCCGCCTGCCAACAGAGGTCGCCCGCCACCCGGACCTCCTCTCCTCCTCCCTCCCTGTCGTCCCTGTTGGTGACCGCAGTGGTCCCCCACTCACAAAGCTCCCAAGGCCAAGGGTCAGAGAGAACAGTCCCCTTCCTGGCTGGCCTGGCGCTAACTTTCGGCCCCCTTTCTGGCCCCGACTCCCACCCCTACTCCAGCCAGACTGCTCGCACATCCATCTACATCCATGAGTCCACGCGTGCCACCACTGGGCCGCAAGTCTATGCACAAGTGCTTCATCCGCCCTTACGGCTGGAATCGGGAGCAAGTCCGTGGCCCATCGGGACTCGGTAATGAGAGTGGCTGAAGTCCTCGAACATAGCCTGGCGCCCACGGCGCTCCTCTCCTTTCTCCGGCACCTGCACACTGGTCCTATGCTCAAAGGAGGGACGCGGGGTACACCTGCGTCTTCAGTAAGTGGCAGAGCACACACAGGTAGGGTCTTGTCAGCCCCGTACAAGTGGCTTGTGTGCTGGGAGGTGTCGTGAGCACGGCAAGCAGGCACAGACTTGAGAGCGCTGTTTTTCCCACAATGTGAAGGATAATGCTTAGTCACACTGGCCTTCAAAAAATACACGCAAGAACATACAGGTGTGGATTTATGTCTGCTACATCTTGCCTCTAAAAGGACTTGTACCCATTTCTCTGCTTCACCCCTGCAGAGGCATCATGACACAACCAATGGGCTAACACAGAACCCCGCTCCTATGCCCGTGTGCCTTGTACAGGCCCCTCGGCCTCTCCAGGAGCCAGTCTCCTCATACACAAAATAAAGAAACTAACGGTGTCTGGGTCACCCAGTGATCCTGAAGATATGAGAAGCCGATCTACCTACGTAAATCAACCAGCACAGTGAGCCTTCAATAAATGCTATTATCAGCAATACTATCATTCTCGCACTGTCCAGATTCTTCTGGAACTGGACTGACTCTACTAGGCTGACCCATGATAGGACGGGAAAAAGACACCCCTAAATATGGCCCATTTCCACCCACACAAATTATTGTGGATTTTTTATTTTTGACAAAACTGACCTAACCCATCGCCTTACCCATCACTACCACAGTATGAGCGGTCACATATGCTGGGGACCCTGATGGCTCCTGACCACTGCCAGTGTCCGATTCTGTGTGTGGCCCTTCAGGAGGTTCTTTCCATTTAACAGATGCTTACTGTCAAGCCTCCTAGGGCTGCCAGAGACTGGCAGGGTCCACTGGCCTGCTCTCTACCCACGCAGCACGAGCCTGCCATGGGCACCGCACACCTGAGCACTCACAGATCACACCTGAGTGGGGAGCACCTTGACAGCAAGCACTTGAGCAGCTGTTGATAATGTCCACTGTGAAAAACCAAACTGGCAGCAAGGGAAACCAGCTCCTTAGAGAAAGAATTTTAGAAACCCGGCAAATTAGCACTGAGCTACATCATCCTCCAGACCAAACACAAGTCCATGACCGCCTGGAATTACAGACACACAGGAGATGGGACACTGGACTCCATCGCTAGTCCTGCCTCCTCCTGAAAACAGGTCGGTGGCTCTGAGCTAACAAAGGTCGGCTATTCCTGGGCTCACCAGGGCCTGGTGTGATCTGTAAATACAATTCCCTCCCAATAGCCAACAACAGCCCTCTGAATGGTAGTGTCATCTTCCCTATGTTGGGGGAGACTAAGGATCAGAAAAGTTAAGTAACTCTACTCAAGGTCATATAACTAGTAGATCCAGATCCAGACAAGCAGGCTTGTTACCAGAGGCTGCACACTTAACCCTGTGCTTGCCTCCCCAAATGGGGGCTTGGGTTATGTGTAAATCTATAAAACCAGGATGTTATTGGGCTGGAGGGAAAGTAGGATTTCCGGTTTGTTCCTCCCCACTTTTCTAGGTAGAATCTCATCCTTCTATGAGACTGTGGTTCCAAGTTAAGACTTCTACCCAGGCAGTGCTTCATACTTTATTATTTCATGTGCTTACACTCACCCAAGTAGACACAATAAGCATGATCATCACCATCAGACACAGGAGGAGGCAGCTTGGGTTTTCAAAGTTTCTTAAAGTCACCCTACTAGTAAATGGCACCACCCAAATCCCTCCCATTTTTCTCCCCAACACAACTCTGGCACTTCCTGAATAAAAACTCAACTCTGTTCTACAAAAATACATTCAGTTGTGCGTTTGAAAGTCAGCCCTCATCTGAGACCATGAACACGCTTCTACCCAGAGAGGAGAAAAGCAATGCCAGCCATTCAAAGGAAAAGATAGGAGTGAAATATAATATGGCTGTCCATGCTTAACATTTGTTTGTAAAACTAATGCCAAAGTTTTGGTAACATCTGCATCTTCTGTCATAACCACAAGACCGAAAACTATAACACTATGATAACATGTTGGGTTTGCAATTTGAAGAGATTCACATGTCTCTGAGGAGTTACAAAACCATACACAGATCCATAAGCACGGGCAACTGACGACAATGCTGGCTGCGAATGGATCCATCTGGAAGAGGAACTCCAGAGCTTGTCTGGGCTGGCGAGCACTACTTCTCAGCCATCCTAAAGATTTCCCAAGAGATGCTTGGAACATTGGGGTCCCTAGAATTCCCTGGGAAGCTTGCAAAGACACAGGTCCCCAGGTGCTGATCTCGTAGGTCTGACAAGGAAGCCTACAATCTGCCTTTTGTAACTAGCACCCTTGGTAATCCTGATACCAATAGGACTCAGAGCCCCTTTTGAGAACACTGTACCTACGACACATGGATATCCCACTACAAGGACAGCAATGCGTTCCAGTGGTGGCTCTTACCAACGATCCCAAACAAGCAGGTCAAAATCTGAAGGTAACACCTTGGGTCCCAACTTTTAGTCCTTTTGACTGGGGGGTAAACTGTAGCTAACAATTTAAAAACAAATGAGAAATAACTAGTTACTTACTAAATTTCAACAGTTAAATGTCCCATCCCATATCTTGCCCCAAGATTCAATTCCCTCTCTACGCCCATCTAGATACCTCTCAACACCCAGTGCTGGAAGTGCCTAATCTATCAATAAGGTGAGAGTTTTCTAAACTACTATCCATATGACTCAATTTGTCAGTAAAAACTGCCACCAGCGCTGTGCTTGCAGAAAAATGTCCATAAATGCATTATTGCGACTGGCAGATCGATGTCTATAATAAAAACAAATAGATTTAACAAGTGCCTGCTTTTACGAGTGGTGCCATTGGCGGACCGCACGTTCAGCTTCACCCCCAGACTTCTGGGAATGGGCAATAGAGCTCGGGCTGGATACTCTGCTGACTTCACAAGTGCTACGGGTAGGAAATTATTCTAACAAGACAATTTTCAAAGTAGTAGAGCGAACATATGAGGCATTTATAACTCGCTCACAATCCCTTTCGTGGTTCCACACAGACGACAACAAATTTAACTGCCAGGAAATGTTTCTATAGAACTTTTAACTGGTTTTACCACAGCTGCATCAAAAGCCAAAAGTCTACTCCAGGTTGGGGCCGGGGGGATGGAGACATGAGGCCTGCCTCCCTGGAGACCCCCACTCCTCCAAGCCCCCAATCGGATTGAAAACAACTTGTGGTGTCAAAAACAAGTTTCAGCGTTTAACACATAGCCAAGGGTGTCACTGCTGTGTCAGTGGCTCCTGGGGCTGCCTATTTAGTTAGTTATTTCGCTAAGGCAGACATCAGGAGCGTGACTGCCACAGACTGGCTTCCCCGCCAGGGATTCTGAGCACTTTGGCAAGACACTGTGACCGATTTACACGTAGGCCACATCTGCCAAAACCACTTGGGTTCCTTCAAAGGTTACAAAAGGTCACGAAACAATTTATTCCTGTTCTTAGACAATTCACTTCAATTGCTATTTAAAGGAATAAGTCATTCACTATATTCCATATATTCACTATACGGTTTTCCCAAAACCTTGCAGCCCTCTCTAAGCTCTTTATTATTGTTAAATTTTCTACACCCAAAGGAAACGACTCTTTCCACTGACCAGCAAAGACGTACCGGTTACCCTAATGCCACAGGACACCCATCTGGCAGTATTCTGTCTCCCAACAGTCTACAACTTTCACCTACCTTTGCCCAAGACAGGCCTCCAGAACTAACAGGAGGGGAAATGCATCCTGTGAACCAAGGGAAAACCAGCCCCTCCTGCACAGCTCAGGCCCCTCCCCCACACATACTTTTACTTTAAACCAGGAACGGGTGCTGTTGGGTTTGTTCGCTCATCATGAGTACATGTGAAAGGATGACAGGGAATCCACTCTCACCCAATGGGAATGTTATGGTTTGTATGTCTCCGATTTTTAAGTTTCAGGCTTGTATAAATAACATTCTGAGATAAGACCTAAGCACCTGTATCAGAAGCTACCCATCACAGGGGTGCCTGGGTGGCTCAGTCGGTTGAGCGGCTGACTTCGGCTCAGGTCATGATCTCGCAGTCTGTGAGTTTGAGCCCCGGGTCGGGCTCTGTGCTGACAACTTGGAGCCTGGAGCCTGCTTCAGACTCTGTGTCTCCCTCTCTCTCTGCCCTTTCCCTGCTCACACACTCTCTCTCTCAAAAATAAATAAACATTAAAAAAAAAAATTTTTAACAACAAAAAAAGAAGCTACCCCTCCCAGAAAAGAGGCTCAGGGGGCCTAAGACAGTAGCCGAATGAGCTCAGGGCCTTTCAGAGACCTGGAGCCCAATGTAGGTGTCTGGAGTGACCAGAGACGTGACAGGAAGTCAAAACCCCCAGGGAAAGTTGACCCACAAGAGGAATTTTATGCAGTTAGATAAAGTCAGAGAGAAGTATGAAAACACACCTGATAATAAGGGTAACAGATGACCACAGGAAAAGAGAATTCAGAAAATACTGTCTTGCTTCCATGATTTTCTATCAAAGAGACTATACTATAAACTGAAAAGGGCCTTGAGACCCCAAGCAGGGAGCTGGAATAGAGCCGTGTTGGTGGTTTGAGTCCCTGGCTTCTAAGTGTCCTCTGCGAAATAAGAAAAATGAAGACAATTTAGTAAGTTTCCTTTATGGAACAACACCAAGGAGCACACTGGGTTCCTGGGACAGCAAGAGCAGAGACTGCCAGGGAGGCCCCCTTCTTCCTCAGGCCCCACTGCCCTCCTCCCCTGCACGGCCAGCCCAGGACCTCACTTGTGCACCAGGAAAGGCAAGTGGGGACAGGAGGCCTGAGTGGAGGGCCCAAGTGAGGCTCGACCGAGAGCCACACGAGATCAAAACACAGGAGAAAAGAAAGGTCTGAGAATCTCCACTGAACAAGAGTGAGATCTTTCCAACATGTCCACGCCTAGTGCATTACTTCTTTAAACTTCCCTCTCCATCAGTGTTCAACAGTGTCCAGAGCAGAGTTTAATAGTACTAAAATCTAGCTCTTATAACACAGATTTGTTTTCTGTTTTAAGTAGGCTTCATGCCCAGCATGGAGACCAATGTGGGGCTTGAACTCATGACCCCGAGATCAAGACCTGAGCTGAGATCAGGAGTTGGATGCTTAACTGACTGAGCCACCGAGGCGCCCACAGATTTGTTTTAGTGAAAAGAACATTCATGAAGAAAAGGTGCCTTTCTATAGCTCTGTACTTGAGGCCCGGTTCATCCAGCCCCCATACTGTACTCTACTATTCAAATTCTAACTCAAGACAAGAACCTGGGAAGAAATCAAGCACCTGTAGAGCGAGGCCAACTCTCCACTACCTGTAGACTCTGGACCTTTGCAGGTGTGCACTTGCTGTGGCCTCCAGGACAACAGTGTCTGAGTTAACACAATATGAACTCCCCGCTGGGGGGGGCAGCCAGGAATGGAGAGGAGAACTCTGACACTGTTTCCTTAAAATTGCTTTACCCCCAGCATGCTTTCGTTTTTATGTCCTTTTCTAATGCTTTTACACCCTTTTTTTATGCCGTGTGTTATCCATTGAAGGACTCAGGGAAAGAACAAAACTGTCTCTTCATCATCTATCTTGGGGAGATGGAGAGAAGGGCCTGACGCAGACATTTACAGGTTCTTAATGTAAGTAACCAGTCCGATTCCTAGCTCCCCATGTTCAACAGCTTCGTGCTCTGCCACAAACAGCTGAAGTGACCCCTCCCTGGGCAAAGCAGCCTCCCTCTGCCCTGATGACTGTCCACCCAACCAAGCAAACGCTGTGTTTGAGCATACAAAATGTGCTTCCAAGATAGAAAGCCAAGTACTGAGCAGAGGCCTTGATAGGGAAGACCATTCTGAGATCTCAGTAAATGATGGGCCCAGAAAGGGAGCGGGGAATACGTGGGTTAGAACACTGCTCTACTGTATTGTCACTGACTTGGGAATTATGGTGCCCAGTGTAAATGGCTCTCAAACTCCACTTATTTACTCTAAGTGTTTGCGGAGGCAATTAGGGCGAAATGTATACACACACCAGCCATGAAAATGAGGACCCCAGAACTTGCTCTTCTCTGGCACTGTCTTAAAACACGGTGCAGCAAATGTGGAATTCTGCACAAAGAGTATGCTAAAGGCTTGCTGCAAGGAAGGGCCGGAGTAGAGGCCTCTGGAAGCTTCCTGGGAACAGAAGGCAAGCGGCGGCCCCCAGGCGCTGGTCAGTAGTGCAGGGCGGGGGAGTGGGCAGGGAGAGCGTCGAAGATGTTGGCCAACTACAGGCATGGCAGGGGAGGCCACAACGGGCCGCTATCACCACAGAGCAACTTGGTCCAGGAACTCCAGACGTGGGGAAGGAGGGCCGCACCTGGGCACACCTGGGTACACCTGGGCACACGTGCGCACACCTGGGGCCTGTGCAGAGAGGGTGGGATCAGGGCAGGCCCCTCGCCTATGGCGAGGAGAGGGTGCCCATAGAACCACAGGCTTCAGACCACTGCTCAGCCTAAGACAGGCCCCGACTTTGGCGGGAGGGCAGCAACCCAGACACTCACCGCGTCACCAGGGCGCCGACCACGAGCAGCTGCGAGCACAGGGTGGCCAAGTGCTGGAGAACCACCGGCTGCCCAGGCACGTCCGGGGCGCGGGGGGCGGAGCCGGGGCGGGGGCGGGGCCACAGTGGGCGGGGCCTGGACGTGACGGAAGCTTGGTCAGGAAGAGCGGAGCCACGGGCGCGGGGGCGGGGCCCAGAGAGGGGGGCGCCGGGAAGTGCGGGGAGCGGGGGTGGAGGCCGAGGCGCGGGGGCGGGGCCTAGAAGGCAGGGCGGGGCCGGGGCGGAGAGCGGACGCCCGCCCCCTGTCTGCGGACTGCCGCGGGGGTCGGAGCATGCCCAGTGCGGCGGAGCCTGGGCTGACCCCGCTCTGCGCAGCCTCGCTGGCCTCTCGGCGCCGCCCCGCAAGGGCCCTCCCGCCCGCCGCCGACCGGCCTCCCCTGCGTGGCCGCTCAGATCCCGCGCTCCCGCCCCACAGCGCTCCGTGCCTCAGTTTAGCCACCACCATAAGCTCCGCGTCCCCTGGTGCTTGCGGTCCGCGGCGCCAAGTGCTCAGTGGCCGTGTTGCCAACTCAGCTCTGCGGGGCAGGGGCCCGGAGCGCGGGCTGCCTGCCTGGGCCTCCCGGAGGGCAGGGACAGGCAGGACTCCGGGCACCATCCGGGTCGATGAGCGAGCAGAGGGGCCTGGGATGTCTCTATTACCTGTGGTCGGAGGTGGCCTTGCAGGGCCCCTCGGGTCCTGAAGGTCGCCATGACCTAGACACAGGCTCCGTAGCAGCCAGGCCAGGCTCAGGTGCTAGTCAGTGAGCACATGGGTGCCGGCGCTACTTGGTGCTCTGTGGACGTTATTATGGTTGAATTGTGTTCTCCCAGAAAAATATGTTGGCGTCCCAACCCCAGTACTCAGAATGTGACCCTATTTGGAGATAGAATCTTTACAGAGGTAACAAGTTAAAATGGGTCCTAATGCCATACCACTGGTGTCCTTGCAAGCAGAAGGCCAGGTGAAGACAGAGACTCAAGGAGAACTGTGTGAAGGGGGAGGGTGCAAAGTGGTACATCCAGGAGCCAAGGAGAACCCAGGACAAGAGAGGCACGGACAGCACCCAGCCCTGGAGCCTTCAGTGGGAGCACAGCCCTCTGCACACATTGATTTCAGACAATAGATGTGTGCTGTTTCCAGACACTCAGTTTTTGGTACTTTTTATGACATCCCCAGGAAGCAGTATAGACCCATTGTATCCAGCTTGATGGGCATAAGGTCCCCTGGGAGTCTTCCCCAAAGCTTGAGGGAGGTCACACACCCATTGGTCCCATCTCAGGACCACACGTTCTAAGTCATCTATGGGCCCCTTAGGTTCCGTTTTCTTAATGGGAAAGAAATCTTCACTCTCCCCGTATGTACAACTCCTCTACTGGGACATTTGTGACTTGAGTGACTCGACATATCAACGTTGTCAATAAAAATTTGTTCAAAGAACCTAAAGAAAGGTTGCTTTATGATCAACCCCAGTGACTATAGATGCATGGTGGATTCTCTCAAGCCCCCCATGCGGGGCCACGCCTCAGCTGGGACACGTTCAAAATAACTGGCCTGGGCCCCGGAGTACACGTTGGTGATTAAGTTACTTTTTTTCTGGTGAGACTAGACTCAGCCTCAGAATCCTTCTCCATCCTGCTCCAGGCAGCCACAGGCACTAAAACTAGGAAGACAGGAGAAATGAAACACCTTTGCCATTTGTTCTGGTCTTCTCTGTTGGCTCACTGTGAAACTTTAGGAAATTTACTCAAATTCTCTACTCCTCAATGCTATCATGTGTAAAGGATTTTTATAATGACCCACTCTTTGTGGCGCGTGCAGGTACGCGCAACAAACATCGACAACGATATGCCTGTCTTCTTATAGTCTATTACAGTCTATACACTCAGAACTAGGATCCCAACAGAAATGAAAAGGGAAAATAACACCGAAATGGACCAGGATATCTTCTGGTATCCTAGCAAGTGTACTGTGATGTAATTTTGTAACAATAAATAAATTCTACTCTTCTTTTTATCTAAACAGTATAATAATATGATTCCGTAAGCTGTTAGTAAAACGAGACTTAGCTGGTATTAGCATCTCTGATTCCCACGCACGGAAAGAAAGGTCATCACAGGCAACCTAAGGCCCTCTTAGAGAGATGATGTGGATTTGGGGAGGGGTAGGCCAGAGAGACAGAGGAGAATGCAGCATCCAGGGGGATGCAAACACCAGGCTCTCCTGGTGGGACTCAGTTACCCTTCAGGGAGGTTGAGAGACACTGCAGCTGCCTTCACAAGGGGCATCAGGTCAGGAGCCATGTAGGGGTCTTAGAACCAAGGGGGGTTAGAGGGAAGCCACCCCTCCTGCCAAGGACTGGCCCTGCCAAAGGCTGAGACTCCAGAACATGACATTTAAGACTCTCCAGCGAACAGAACTGAAATCCACACTCTCAACACTTACTTGCTGGTAAATTCTTCTCCTCTTAATGATAATTTCCAAAAGCTCAAAGCATTTCCTCGAAAACTGCCCTAGGCCTCATTCCTATGTCCCATTACACCAGCATCCTCACCTACGAACACGTCCTGTCATTGAAGCAACACAAGGATAGCCCCAGTCTGGGGAACAGCTTGGTGTGTAAGGGACGCAAGGTCAGGATATTTGGGGTGCAGCCCTGCCAGCCTCTCACTGTGCAATCCACCTGACTGCTCTGTCGGATGACAGCGTTGGACTAGGTGGACAAAGTTTCTTTGGGGTTTCCCATCTGTAGATTAATAAATCATATCCCATCTTCTCTGGACACAGCTTCCCATGAATGACTTTTTGCAAAAGAAATGGAAAACCAAAGGAGTATATGCTCGTTGCCACTCTGACTTCTCCAAGGGACCTCCTTGAATGTCCTCTAAGATTGGCCAGCTTTCTTGTGGGCACTGGGAACAATGTTAATTTGCATCATTTCTTTAAACATCCAAATGGATACCTTTCAGGTTAAACAAATGAACATGCCATGTGATTGCTTCCAATGATTCACAACCCAAGAATTTGTTTAATAAGCCTTTCTTTCCAAGCTACTTTTGTGACGTTAGAGACCATTTACAACAAAGCTGTCTTCAGTAGTCAAACTTAATCCTTACTACCCTGCCTTTGGGAAAAGAAGGGATTTTATAATGATCACATAAAACCTTATGTGGTTTGAAAGCCCCAAACTCCGGACAAACGTGTGAGGGTCGTATAACAAAAGAAACATGTTACAGAGCTCCCTTCTTTAAGTGTTTTACATGTGGTTTTCTTTTAGGATAGCATCTCCAGCGGAGAGTTTTACCGATTAACACGATTGATTTTCCCAGCCCCAGTGTTCCTGTAAGGGTCGAAGCCAAGAGCCTGCACCTAGGATCTGGGTGGTATAGCCAGCCAGTGATGGGGGGTGGGGCACATTCTGGAGGAGTGGAGGAGGAAGGTGGGGGGCATCAGGGCCAAAGGCACCCAGAGTTCGGTCAAAATAGGGCAACCAGATAACTGAATACCCAGGCAATGTATATAATACATGCAAACAAGTGAGTGAAAGTCGACTCTTCAGATGCGCACGTGTGTGGATAGATTGGCTTAGAGAACGACTTCTTCAAGTGCAGAAGCTTTGGGGGAGGTTGTCTCAAACTGTGTTGGGCTATTTGAGCGTTGATCACTCAGGACTGGGGATTTTGTTAGACGTTGGCCCTTTTGAAAGCAGCTCCTACACTTATTACAAAGTGTTTTTGATCCATTTTCAGGAAGGGCTTTGTTTGTAACACGTTGTTGGCAGTTTGGGCAAAATCTTTTAAGTAGTGTGAAGTTCTGGGGAGTGTGCACCTGGGCCGCCAGGAGGAAGGCGTCTCCCCCCTCCTCTGTCCTTCTGGGATGAGCCAGAAGTGCCTGCATTTTTGTGACTTGGAAATTAAAGCAGAAGACATGGGGGTTTTGATGCTGAGGTTGTGATTTTTCCTCATTTGCCTCTGCCTGGGAAACTACACACGAAAATCAAGGCAGGAAAAGCAGCCATACCAAACGTTCTGTCTCAGCCTCCAAAAATATTAATCTGAAAAAGAAACAGCGGTTGTATTCTCTCTAAGGGACACTTCCTCAATCTAGCCCTAGTGCACTGAGCCATTGATTTAAAATAAGATGAGGCAAAGTGAGAGGAACGATCACCATGCGAGCAGCAAAACTGGTGGTGAGGATGGGGTGGTGGCTGTCTGTCTGATCACTCAATTATCTGACTGTTCGCAGAGATAACTCACTTTGATCTGCAGAGGCAGGCGTGGCCGAGTGAGGTCCGGGCAGTCCCTCCATCTGTCTCACTCGCAGCCACTGGACACGAGGCCCTCCTTGGTCCAGGAGGCCTCTGGACACAAAGAGGACAGAGATCTCACTCCTGGTGGGGAGGGAGGAGAGGCATGACCCATGTCCCTCCCCCATGACCTCAGCATTAAGTCCTTTCAACACTGCCTCCCCAGAGTTGAAACAAGTTCTATCTCCAGCTTCCCCTGGGGGGGGGGGGGGGGGGCGGCAATCCCAGAGAAGGGCTCTGATTGGCCCAGCACGCGTAAGTACACCGAACTCTGGACCAATCACGGTGGCCAGAGGAATGAGCCAGTCACGTGCACCCCTGTGGCCAGGAGAACAGGCGGGGCAAGGAAGGAAGGGGGATGGTAAGGGCAAGATTACCGCGAGGTATGGAGCCACCAACTTGTGCTGTACCTGCTCACAGTGATGGAGCGCCTACTGTGTGCCAGGCCCAGGCTCTGCAGCATGGACTCACGTGCTGCCTCTTCAGTCTTCACACCCATTCATCACCAGAGGCTTGTGGAGGGGGTGGCGAGCCAGCAGGGGGCGGCTCTCTGCATCTGGCAGCCCCATCTCCCCCAGTCCCCTGTGGACGTGACTCTGTGCAGTGGAGACTTCTACCACGTCCGTGAACAAGGGGACCTGTTTCATGGAGCTGGACGGCAGAGACAACTTGGTGCTGGCTCAGGACACTCTCCTAGAGCTGGACTCCCCCCTCCAAGGCCAAGCAAAGCATGGCCAAACCTGCACCTCATTTCTTTGTCTTAAGGATTAACCTTTTTAAAAAATTTTTTAACGTTTGTTTATTTATTTTTGAGAGACAGAGAGTCAGCACGAATGGGGGAGGGGTGGAGAGAGACAGAGACACAGAATCGAAAGCAG